TTTTACTGGATGGATACATTTCTTGATTTAACCTTGGCACTGACCTACTTTCAAGGACTGTCATGTAAGGTAAAATACAAAATGTAAGTTGTGTTTTTCATGAAAAAAGAGATTTAATGCAAATTCAATACCTGGCACATGGCAGACACTTAATAAATGTTTATTGAATATTGGTTAAAAAATTCATTTGTTTAATTTAACAAGAATTAGTTAAGCTGCTGCCATGTACAAGCCACTGTGTTGGGCTCTGGGGATTCAATCTGATTCAGTTCCTTTCTGCTCAATGTTATAAGCAGTTATTAAGTGCCTCTTATATGCTAGGTACTGTGTGGGGCTTTCTATCTGATTTAATTTAATTCAGCAAACATTTGTTAAATGCTTGCTGTGTTCCAGGTATTAGGCTAGGCACATGCCAAAAAACCCAGCAAACCAAAGGAGTCCCTACCCTCAAGGATTTTATATTTTTCTTGGAGTGGGGTAGAAGAATTATGTACATAGAGAAGTAATACAACAATCTATACAAATTAGCTATAGAGTAATTTTCAAGTGCAAGAGTAGACACTAACCAAGAGAAGTTGGAATCAGGCTTGGCCCTTGAGGTATTCATACTCTGTTGGAATTCATTCTCATTCACCCATTTCCTTTGCTTTTTTTAAGATACAGCTCAGGCGCCATTTTCTATTCCCCATGTCCTATTACCTCACTATGTCATAATTACTGGTATTATTGTTCTCATTTTATAGATGAGGAAACTGAGGTCAAGGTAAAGGTAATTTACACAACAAATGTAGAAAGAACTAGGATTGCAACCCAAGTGTCTTGTCGTCATGTCAAGTCATTTGCCGGGTTACAGGGCCACCTTTCTTTGCAATATGTTTTCCTCACATCAGTTGTGAGGGAGGCAGTACAGGCATTACCTCTGTCTTACTCCCATGAGGTTTTTGTTAGTGGGCTCTGAAAGCTTGCCGGCTCTGGAATCTGCCTCCAATGACTCATCAAGGTTGGGATGCAATTGGGTCCCTAGCTGAGAACAAGGAAAGGTCGGCAATCGTGATTGGCCCCAGGTATCCTCATGTTTGTCAGCAATGGGACATAGCTCTAGGATGGGAGGTCAGTGTAGGGGAGAATCCACATGGGGAGAATCGTGGGGTTCCATTCTCAAAAAGACCCACAGACGTATGGACCTACATCCCAAGGCCCTCTTGGCATTAATATGAAGGATGATTTCACAACACAAAAGACCTGGTTGGCAAGAACGCTCAAAACAAAGAAATTGGGGGAGGTGCCCAGGATGGCAGCAGATTTCCAGGGGGCCCAGACGGCCTGGGGGTATTTACAGAAAATGGCTGAGATAGACGCTAGGCCTGAAATCAAGGGAGATAGCTTGGTGTTAGTCCACCTTGGTGGGATGAGTCCGCAAGCATTTATTAAAGCATGTGCTACGTGTTGGCACTGAGCACACAAATGCAAAGATTGAGAAAATAATCCTTGCTCTCAGGGAGTTAACATCTATCTGGGAAGAAAAGACCACACATATGTAAATATGCATCAGTAGGATGAGCAGATGCAGAATCGGTCTAAAACATAAAATAGTTAAATTTAAGACAGGGAAAGAGGGGCGCTATTCGTTGGAGGGTTAAGAAAAGCCTTCATGTAAAAAAGGTGGCGCTTTTTTGCCAAAAAAATGTGAGCAGGAAGGAATCTTTCCAGGGTCTTGAGCTAGTGCTTAGGTGAGGAATCAGGGGCAAAGGCCACACTAGACTGGGGCATCTGTAAGAGGGAAGACTTCTCCTTGACCCTGGATGCCCAGAACTGAATTACATCAGAATCACAAGGTTTGGTTGGTGTCCTTTTCTCAAACCTCCCCCCGCCCCATTCTGCCCTCCATTCCTCCTAAATTTCAGGTCTAACTATATGGCAGCCCCCATTCAAAAGACTTCAGTGGCTCCCCATTACCTCCAAGATAAAACACAGAATCTTCTGTTTGATTTTCACTCTGCCCTCCACCCCTTTCTAGTCTTATTATATTTACTCCCTTCCTTCCACATATTCTGAAATGCAATTGTTGTTCCTTGATTTCCTGACCCCGAATGTTTTCCTTGGCTGTCCTCCATGCCTGGAACTAACAGTCTCTTTCTCTCTGTCTCTCTCTCTCTCTCTCTGTCTCTCTCTCTCTCTCTCCCCCTTCCCTTCTCTACTTCCTAACTTCCCTGGATTCTTTCAAGTCTTAGATAAACTTCCACCTTCTTCATAAAGTCTTTCCCAGTCCTCCTTAATCTTAGTGCCTTCCCTCTGTTGATTATTTTCAATTTATCCTCTCTATACCGGCCTTGTACACAGTTGTTTTCATTTTATCTCTTCCATTCAAATATGAACTCCTTGAGATCAGGGAATTTTTTTTTTGATTTTTCTTTGTATTGCTAGCACTTAACATGAAGCTTGGCGTATAGTAGACATTAAATGAATCTAGTTAACTGAATGACAAAGTCTGTTTGTTTTAGAGGGAGTACTCAAATGCACAGCAAGAAACCAAGGTTGGACTGTTTTCAAGGGCAAGAAAGGCATGGAAGTTGGGCAGGATGAAACTAAGAATAGGCCAAGTACCATGTCATTGGTGCTCAGGCCCAGGAGAGTCTGGTGAAAGCCTTGGTATTTGTGAAAAAGTTACCTGTTCCTGACTGGGAAAAAATTTTTGCCACATGTATTTCTTATCCATGATATATAAGGACCTGGCTGAAATTTATCTAAGAACCCAATAGATAAATGGTCCAAGGATAAATAGGAATTTTTCAAAGTAAGAAATCTAAGCTATCAATAATAATATAAAAATCACTAATAATTAGCGAAAAGCAAATGAAAGCAACTTTGAAGTTCTACCATTCACCAGATTGGCAAAGACAACAGAGGAGGAAAATGGCGAATGTGGGGGGGGGTCTTGGGAAGACAGGCACAGAAATAATTGGTGGAGCTATGAATGGGTTCTGCCATTCTGGAAAGCAATTTGGACCCTTACCCAGAAAGCTACCAAACTGTGCATGCCCTTTGACCCCACTATACTGTGACTAGGTCTATATCCCCTCAAAATCAAAGAAAATAGGCCTATATCCCAAAGAAATCAAAGAAAAATCAAAGAAAAAAGCCTATGTCCCAAAGAAATCAAAGAAAAATCAAAGAAAAAAGGCCTAAATCTCAAAGAAATCACAGAAAAATGCCTAAATCCCCCCAAAATCAAAGAAAAATCAAAGAGGCCTATATCCCAAAGAAATCAAAGAAAGAGAAAAAAGATGCATACATAAAAAAAATTCTAGTAGCTTGTTCCATGGTAAGTCCTAATTGGAAACTAAGGGGTTATCCTCCTATTGAGGAATAGATAAACAAACTGTGTTATATGGATTTAATGGAATATTATTGTATCATGAGAAATGATGAAATGGAATTTTCAGAGGAAACTTGGAAGGCCTTTATAAACTGACACAGAGGGAAATGAACAGGATGACGTGGACACTTTCTACAATAGCAACAGCATTAGAGAGGGGAAATAACCCTTTTGAAAGATACTGATAGATCATGAGTCCGAGGAGTGCATTTGAAGTGTGCCATTCACCTCCTGACAGAGAGGTGGTGAACTTGGAATTCAGGGACAGACACCCATCTTTGGACGTGGCTGATGTGGGCATTTGTTTGGCTGAGCTGTGTAGCTGCATGTTAATGGTTTTTCTTTTCTTTCGTTTTTTGTGTATGTTCAGTTGGCAGGGGTGGGGGGACAATGAGAGGGGCTGCTTAATATAAAATGAGAGAAAAAGAAGCTGTTAATGTCTTCTACATTACCACACTGTATGACCTATGACTGTTATCTCTGTGTCGTGCTTTGAAGAAAATTTCTCTTTAAAATAACTGCCTATTTTGGCAAGGGAGGAAACCCTTCTGTCTCCTTCCTGCAGGGACCTGGTGGTCAGGTATCCAAGAATGCTAGGAATCAGAGGGTCAGAGGTTTAAAGCTGAAAGGAACCCTAGAGGTCAGTCCCCTCATTTTATAAATAAGGAAAATGAAGCCCAAAGAAGGCTCATTAGGTGATAGTTTAGAGCAGGAAAGGACCTTAGAGATCATAAAATCTACCCCCATGCCCTCATCTTACAGAAACTGAAACTACTGAGGTGAAGTGACTTCCCCAGGGTCACTCTGCTATGGGATGTCAGAGGCAGGATTTGAACTCACATCTTCTTGATACCAAGTCTATCCACTACAGCACTAGGAGGGGCTAGAAACCTAGGGGGTGGTACCTGATGAGTCTTTGGTGCAAAAGTGAGGCAGTGAGAGTGGATGGGATAGAAATGGCAGTCATCTTCTGCTGCAGGCCTCAGTGGCAGTATTACCCCAGGGTCTATGAGCAGGAGAAATGGTAAGAATATTTTCTTCCAACTGAGTTAGTAAGACCTGGGGAGTTCAGTGAGTCCATTTCTCTTCCTTAGAACAGTCTGCACTTAAAAGGGAGATGAGTGTCTGCCCTATTTTAAAAATATCTTCAGTAAAGATTTTGGTCCCTCACTCCATCAAGAAGCTCTGAAATATTTCTTCTTACATAAGCCTCGCTGGGTCAGGACATTTCCCAGGGACCCTAGGAGGACCTAGGCAGAACCTGGCATCTTTTATCCTGAGATACACCAATAACCCTTCCAAATAACACTTGGATGAGAAGAACTCAAATGCAGAAATACAAAGGACAGATCTGAACTCTCTGACAGGTTTGGGATAGCAAGGAACCCAAATTTTTATGTGACATTAAATGATTTCAAAGATGACTTTTGTCTTGTTAAGCCTGATCCAGAGTTTTATTACTCCTTGAGAGAGAAGAACCACATTTTGGCTACACCCAGGGGGAAAATGATATCATTTTCATGAAAGAATTTCAATAAAATAAGGAAGTACTGCTTAAGAACAATGAATTCTGAAGACAGCCAATATTTGGCTTCTTTGAAGGAAAGGAGCGTTGTCTACTCACTCTGGAGGTTATGTAGCAACTTGTCCAGTAGAGCCATAAATTTGGACAGTTGGGGGATGGAGAAGTTCTTGTCTTTGGCCCACCAGAATCCAGACGTGTAATAATCCAGCAGAATGGCTTCCTTTAGGGAAGTAGGAAGTTTGTGGAAATTCAAGAATCCTTCCAGTTTTCTGTAGCCAAAAGAGAATCGTAGAAATTAAATGTGCCCCAATAGGGTCAAACTGCTGTCTCTAAGAGGTGATTGTGAAGCACGGGCCCTGCAGCATTCAGATGGCATGGTATTGGTCACAGCCAAGGAGATTTATCTGTCATTGCTGCCTTCAGTACTCACTGTTCTAGGTTTGGTGGGGTTAAAGAATTAGAAGGTCTCAAGGAAATTCCGATCAAAATGAGTAGAGAAGAGCAAATTTGCAAATACCTCCTGTATAAAGGGACGGGCAGGTATGTCAATTCATGACTACTTTTGGATGAATGTGTGATTTAAATAAAGGTAGTGTGCTATGGTGGAAAGAGAAGCTGCTTTTGGAAGACCTGGCTTTGAATCCCACTTCTCCCCCTTCTTACTTGGGGTAACCTTGGAAAATTCACTTAACCTCTATGGGTCTCAAGTTTCTCATCTGTTAAATGATCAGATTGAACTAGATGCCTTCTCAAGGCCCTTGCAGCATCAAATCTAGGATCCTAGGAATTAAAACCTTGTACAAACTTATCTTCTCTGGCAATAATTCTCAGCCTTTTTGAGCACAGAGCCTGGAGGCATAAAACAAGCACTTAACAAATGTTTGTTGATGACTAGAGCTATAATTAGGGTGGAGACTGAGTCTTTGCTTCAGGACAAGAAATTAAGAAGGTACAACAGCATCATCTGGGAGACATTTTCTCCCCTGCCTTCCGTGCCTCGGTTTCGCCTGTATTGAAAGAGGTAGTACTGGTGGTCTCATCCCAGGGGGCACTTTTTTTCCTTGCCTCTCTCAAGGCAGAAGTAATATACTAATTTCAGGGGCCCTTCCTCATCGTTTAACAGCTTAGCAATCTTGTGGTTCTCTAGAATGTACTTCTGCCCAGAGGTTACATCATAGGTAAATCTACATGACACTCCCCACACCCCCTCAAACCCTCCCACTTACACATATAGCTGCCACTTGCTCCAGGTGCAGAAACTACTAATTATCATTAGAACAAGGGGCCCTTTTAAACATCAAAATAATTTCACAGCTCCACACATGACTGCAGTTGTACAATTAGCATTCATTGATTGAAAAAAAAATACAAGATTAGATTGATTTGGACTCCTTTCAAGCTTGGAAGCTACAAACTAGCAATAGGAATGCAAAACCTTGAAGAAAAATGTCTGAAACAATTGATGAGATAGTTTGTATTTTTCTAAAGGAACCACATTCTTCCCCAGAAGTGAAGACATGGGTAGCCTTGGATACACCATCTCGGATACAAACTTCATTGTCCCGGCCTGTGGCCAACTTTCATCAATATGTACTTCCTTTCACCATCTCCATTTCATTCCCTGTTTCACAGACTCATATGCTTTTAGAGATGGAAGGGAATTTAGGGACCTCGTCCCAATCCCCTCATTTCATAGAGACTAATTTTTGATTTTTGTCTATCCAGCGCCTGGCGTAGGACCTTAGACAAAGAAATTGCTTAATAAATATTTGTTGAATTGAGTGGCAGTGGAAAATCCTGGACTGAAGCCCAAGTTTCTTAACTTTGGGCCCAGTGCTCTTCCCATGACCAGATTCCTTTCCTTTTGTGCACCTCTATAGCACGGTAGAGACACTCTAGGGCTCTCCTGTCTTTCAGGAACACTAGGAGAAAGTATGGTTATGGTCAATTTCATCTCAATGCATTCCAGGGGTGTTAAAAAAAATAAAGTGAAAAAAAAAACCTTACAAGTTTTTATAGTTTCTGTGGCAAAATGCTTTATTAGCATTTATATATTTTTTTTCACTCCCTTATGGGAGCAAGGAGCCTGAGATATCTGAATGGAACTGGGTAATTATTTTAGACAGCCTTGAAAACTATGACCATTGAGTTCTCTCCTTTACCGGGAAAGTTGCTAGATTGCATTTGACTGTCAGAATACTCACTTTTGAACCCCATGTATGTTTTCATTTAGCAGATCATTGATTTGGAGTTCTGAAAGGAAATCTGAAGTCAGGATCTTTGGAGAGTCTTTGTCAGAAATTTCCTATAAGAAGACAATAGTGAAGATTATTTCAGTACCCACTTGGATCCAGAATCTGTTCTGCTATCAAGTATCATATAGACCTAATCTATACATCCCCAAATGGAGCTAGTGTTAGTGGTTTGAATCTACTCCTTCAGTAAGGAAATATTAGAACAACTCCTCCAAAATGCTGACCGTTTTTATGCTAATTGGAACAAGAACCCCCTTAATTAGCCCTGGATTTATGTGATACCTCTTCTGAACTCTTCAGCATGGGAGAAAAGATCATAAACTAAGAAGTAGAACAACTCTTCTTCTGTGATCCCATGCCTGACCAACCGTATGACTTTGAGCAAATCGTTGACCCTCTTCTGGTCTTCATTTTGTTCATTAGCAATCTTAAAAGTATGTTGATTTTTTTTTATGTGATATTTGTGATTCTTTTTCCTCCACCCCAAGTACTCCAGGGACCCTTGGGGTTGGGTGGCTTGAGTATCGCCTTTCATAACCTGGCTGGAAGACGGCATGACATTACATTAATTTTCCAAAAAGGGAGTGCCGTGTCTGAGCAGTCCACAAGGTAGCACTTTCCTTGAGCCATGGTGAGCTGTCAGTTTCTCTAGTTTAAATGCATCCTAGTCTTCAAAAAGGGCTGCATTATCTCTGTTGGCCATCAGATGGCACACAACCTGCAAACACCCACACTCTTCCCACCAACAGAAGCCCGGGCTTTGACACTGCTCAGTAGTTTGGACTAACCTCTGCCGACAGGGTTTTAAGTCAGTGTAAGCGGGCAAAAGGAGATATTTCTGAAAACATTAAAATATGAAATCTACCGCCTTTAATTAGCTCATGAATTCCCACCCTATCTGGCCTTCCTTCACTCAGTTCTATTTCTATAATAACCAGAGTCAGAGAATTAGTATGGTATTATTACGTACTCTATTGTGCATTAATCAACTAATCACTAAGCGCTTATTATTCAACTACTATGTGCCAAGCAGTATGATAGATAATGACTTGCAAATATAAAAGTGAGATGTTCCTGTCTTTAAGGAGCTTATGTTCTAATGGGAGAATACATACACAGATTGTTCAGTCATTTTTCAGTGACTCCATTTGGGGTTTTCTTGGCAAAGATACTGGAGTGGTTTGCCATTTCCTTCTCCAGCTCATTTTACAAATAAGTAAATAACACACACATGCAATCATCAAACAGATAACAAGGTGACTTGCTTGGGGAGGTAGAGACACAATTGGGAAATGAAGAAAAGCATCTTGAAGAAGCAGCTGATTTCTGGCTACCCATGTCAAAGATGACGATGGAACCTAGTATCATATGCTGAAAATATCACAGAATAAAGTATAAAGGAAATAGATCAAACATCCCTATATGAAGGGATCCATGTGCAGCTGTCTCCTAAACCTTCTCCTGATTGCCTTCCCAGATATTTGGAGATAACTTAGGGATACCCATCCATTTGCATCTGCAGTTCATGGAAAATAATCAAGGTTACATCTTTACCATGACTCTGGATCAAGGACTAGAAAAAAAGGGAAGATGGAGAGAATGGGCAGGGAAGTAATTTTCTCCCAGTTCATAATCCCATAAGTATGTATAAAACCTCTCATCTCTTGGCCCCCATCTCTGTTTCAAAATCAACATCTTTTCTGCTCTGCTGGTCTCCAGCATGAGTCACTTTCATATGACTCATCCCACTTGTGTGTGTCACCACAGCCACAGGGCAACACTGGTCGTGGTCTCTGCTGCTCCATGTGGTCCTGGTCATAGGTCAATTGTGCCTCTGGCAGCAGCCAGCTGCTGCAGCCCCAGATGCTCCCATCCCGTTTCATGGAAACTCAAAAAGTCAAGTCCAAGGTCAGCAGATTCAATTTGAATTGAACTCTGAATATTTCCAGGTATGGATTGTGCTTTCTTTTTGCTCCATCATCAGACTTCCTCCTCATTGCCCATCAGAGTTCCCCACACTCCAGGGGGAAGGGTGATTGCTCCCTCTTGTTCCAGAATCATCCAGGGCCACTTTACCAATCTGTCTTCTCATTCATCCCCCTGAGCCCAGGAGTAAACAATTCAAAGGGATAATAGCATGGATGACATTTTTGGTGTTGTATATTTGTCCTATAGCTTGTTTGTATATGTTTGTTTGCATGTTATCTCCCCATTAGAATGTAAGTTTCTTGAGGGTGGGGACTGTCTTTTGCCTCTTTTTGTATTCCCAGAGCTTAGCACAGTGCCTGGAACATACTAGGCACTTAATAAATGTTAACTGATTAATTGAAGTCGGGGGTGTGGTTTACATTTCAATACATACAAAATAACTGGCCAATTCTTTTTTTTCTTTTTGGGGGGGTTCAGGGACATGATCTGGGCCACAGAATCATAACTTTAGAACTGGAAGGTATCTTAGAGGTCATCTAGTCTAATTCTCTCACTTTACAGATGAGGAAACTGAGTCCCAGAGAGGTCAGGTAATTTGCCCAAAGTCGTAGAGGCAGTAAATGACAGAGGGAGGTCCTCTGTCTCCAAATGCAGTTTTCTCCACTGAACCATGTTGGTTCAGTGATTTCATCAGTCTGGAGAAGTCCTGGTGTGGAAATTCTCTCCACTAACATAGCATAGATATTAATAGCAGACATGAAAGTAATACTTCAAAATGCTTTACAAACATAACTTAATTTGAGCATCATAATTGATATCCATTACGATATGGAGGAGGAAAAGGAAAATCAGAGGTTAACAACTTGCCCAGGGTCACACAGCTAGTTAAATGACTAGGACAGGATTCCAACTCAAGTCTTCCTGACTCTGGGTGCTGGGCTCTATCCACTGCGCCACCTAGTGGCAACCATTACTGGTGCTAATATAGCACAGATTGGTCAGCTAAGAGGTGCCACAGTGCACAGAGTGCAGGACTTTGAGGCAGGAAGATTCATTTTCCTGAGTTCAAATCTGGCCTCAGGCACTTACTAGCTGTGTGACTCTGGGCAAGTCACTTAACCCTATTTACCTCAGTTTCCTCATCTGTAAAAATGAAGTAGAGAAGGAAATGGCAAACCACTCCAGGATCTCTGCCAAGAAAACTCAAAATGGGGTCACAGAGTCAGACACAACTGAAAAATGATGATTGAAACATGATTGTTTCTTTGAAATCTGCCTTTTGGGAATTTTTTTTCTCCAAATTTTAAAAAGGAAATAGCATGAAGATAATGTGACTAATGGTCTTATTAGAAGGGGAAATTTCTTCCTTTTCTTTTCCAGGAAGCTTTCCCCAAATCCTCTTAATTCTAGTGCTTTCCTTCTGTTAATTATTTGCTATTTATCCTGTTGACGGCTTACTTTGTATATATTTGTTTGCATGTCATCTCTTCCATTAGATTGTAAGCTCCTTGAGGGCAAGGACTGTCTTTTGCTTCTTTTGCGTCCCCACTGCTTAGCATAGTGCCTGGCACATAGTAGGTGCTTGTTAATATTTATTGAGTGACTTAATTGTAAAAATCAAAGAATTAGAAAAGAGAGTCAAACTCATGATGGTTATTTAGAGGTACCACTGCGGCTCTTTTTGTGAAATGCCCTTGACATTTGGGGTGGAGACATATAAGCCGAACTAGGTTGTTTGTTGTTGTTCAATCATTTTCAGTCATGTCTGATTTTTCGTGACCCCATTTGGGGTTTTCTTGGTAAAGACACTGGAGTGGCTTGCCATTTCCTTCTCTAGCTCATTTTGCAGATGAGGAAACTGAGGCAGGCGAGGTGAAGTGATTTGTTCAGGGTCACACAGCTAGTAAGTGTCTGAGGTGGGATTTGAACTCAAGGAGGTGAGTCTTCCTGACTCCAGGCCCCTCTCTATGTGCTGTGGTGCCACCTAGCTAGGTTGTACCTTATTGTTTTCCACCACCTTGCTGGGCTTGGATTTTTCCTTCAACAGCTGGACCCACTGGAATCTAATATCCCAAGATGGCTCATTCACAGAAACCTGTTGCATTTTTCTGATGAACATTCAAATATGTTTCAAGTAGAGAATCCAAATGTAGGTCCAACCCACAGAATGTTGAAAGTGGACTATAAAACTCAGAATTAGATACGCTTTCTCTTGGAATTACTGTTAATTGGGGGTGGGGTTGGGGGGTGAGCTGAGTTTAGAAAAAGGATAAAAGGAAAAGAAGAAAAGTGAAAACCTTATTAAAATCATGGATATTATTTTTCATCTGACTTTTGGTTACATGAAACCAACTCTTTGACTCAGCTTGGTTTAGCATGCAATGCTCTTGTAGTCCAAATTATAATAAGAAAAAGGACTTTTCTTAAAGTTTTTGGAACAGAAAATGATGCTGATTTTTTATTATTTTGTAACATTTGATGCTCTAATGATAGAATTGAATTTTCAGTTTGTTTTAGAAGGTGTCACCATGCAAATGAAAAAGAATGCTGGGTTGAAGCGTGGGCTGGAATCCTGACTCAGCCACTTATTATCTTTGTGATCCTGGTCATGTCACTTCCCTAGGCTTGGGTCTCAATGTCTTCAACTTTAAAATGAGAGAAGGAGCTGAACTCAATAACCTCCAAAGTTCCTTCCTGCTGCAATCTATGATTCCGTGATCCTATAATCCCATGAAAAGGGTGGGAATCATATGCCTGCATCTTAACATGTGACCTCAAGCAAATTACTTTCTTTCTCTGAGCCTCAGTTTCTTCATCTACAAGTGAGTGGAGATGGGAAGAATTGACAGACATCACCATGAAGGACCCTCATAGCTCTAAATCTGTGCTGCTATGATTTCTTTCTCTGTTTTATTCCTACTAAATTATTATCAGTACCCACTGGATTACTATCAAATGCTGCTAAATCTTTTGTGTGCTGTTCCTCGATAACATCAGAAATAAATATGATTTTGTTACTATCGAAAAAGACACAGTAATACAACCAGTTCTCATGATGGTGATGTGCTACCAGAAATCAATGACTAGACAGAGAAATATTAGGAATATAAGTTATAATTTG